CTATGAGGTTTGCTGTTGTGCTAGCTAGTCTGGAGGGCAAAATAGTGGGTAGGCCAAGATGCCGCGGCTGCATTGATTTTGCGCAGATTTCTTTCAAAGGCCAAATTGTCTTTCTCGTCTCGTCATTCGCTGGATGCCCTCTGTGGATTATTGTGATCGCACTACCGCGTGCTCTGCAGGAGATTAGCAAGCAAACATTGTTTTAGAAACTTCAATAAGTGCGCGAGCGAGCTGGTAGACGTTTATCATGATGAATATAACCCGTGACCGGAGCAGAAGGAAAAGGTTTCGAGTGGTAGAAAAAACCATCAGCAGAGAGGTGTCTGTCTCTGTTTCTTTTAGTAATCCTGAAAACATTTTTTTCCTCTTCTGCCTGGGTTTCTGGTCAAAGTCATCATGATTGTTGTAGAGTTGTAGCCTGATACGAACCATACGTTGCACGCACATTTCACATTTCGAACAACCCAAGGGCATGTACGCCTACAACTATATATCCCAAGCACGTTCTCTAACTCAAACTTCAGTTTTGCAAGTGAATTGTGGACGTTAAAAAGGTGGAAGAAGCTAAATTAGGGCTAACGTTGACTTTTCACCATAGTTCAAGTAATACTGGCTCCAATTCGCCAAATATATGCCAAAGTTCGGCATCACTGCTGGTAGATTTAGCTGTCATCTCGCATCTTTGGGCCTAATCGTGAAACAGGTACCAGAGTTATGCTTCACTTTCGGTTGTTCGGTTTTTATCTGGTAACTTTGGGCCTAAATTGCCAAACAAATGTGCCAGATTCCGATGTCAGTGCTCGTTCTTCGGTTCAGGTATGTGCCATCGTTGGCTCCAGTCGGGCACTTCGCCAGTTATGTGCCGAGCCAGAGAAAAGCCAAAGAAACGCCAAAAAACAAAGCAAAGAACAAGTCGGGTATTAACTAAAGCCTTGGAGCGAAATCGTACTGGGCCCAAATCGGGCCTCTAGGACTGCCAAGCTCCTGCCTAGATAGGCCTTCCTGTGACATATGCTACCTGGGATGCATCTTTTGTCACTAACAGCTCAATAAACGTAGGGCAGGGCAAGTCCTGAGCATGTTCGCGAATTTGAGTAAATAAAATATAACTGAATTTAATTTTATCAAATTTCGGTAAAAGTCGGCAAAGACGCCAAAAAACTAACCACTAACCGGGAAATCTGACCAGACCTGCATTTTATAAACTGTCACTAATTATAACAATAATTTGCACACAAATAATACAGTGCTTACGCAATGAGCTCTTCATCTTCGGTGTGGCTATCGAAATGGTTCTGATGCAGCAACGGAGAGTAAAAAGACGCTACATTTCCGTCTTACACCCCTTTCTGAAGCTTTTTTTTTTTTAAGAGGTTAAAAGTAAAGTGGAAGATAATGCTACCCACCTCCTCTCCAGCGTCCGCTTTGCTAAAGTGGAAAGATGTGGGAGGTGACTCCACTTCACTTTTAACTTGACATTGACTATAGTTGACCTCTTCCTAGAAGAGCCCTGCACATGCGCGTCTTGTCTTCCATCTACTGACCAATCGTCGCAATTCTTTTTTTTTTTTTTGTGGAAGCTTGACCTATTAACTTTTGATTTGGACATATCAAGATGTCTGTGTCCTTCTTGATACTATTACTATGGTTGACGCCTCCAGTAGATTATCCCAAAGAGGTTGAAGCTCTAAATGTGACTTATGAACTTGCCCCTCGTCATCGTCTTAATGCGAAAAAGGTTCCTTCGGTAAGAGTTAGAAGCCTCACAGACTGCGAGAAAATTCGCGTCACGAAGTGACATTTTGGTATGCCGATCTAGAAAATAAGCTTAAAAATGCCCTTCTCATTCTCAACTCAAATATGTGTTTCAACAACACCTCCCACATAACAAAGCAATGTGGAGCACAAGTTCATGTGCCTCTTGTTCAGGGGTGGCGGTGACGTCAGAACGCCAAGCTTTGATTAGTTCGATCGGAAGGATAGCGGGTAGACCTCAAAGCAGCTATCATTGAGTGCTACGCACTATCCTTGCCTGTCAGAACCGATGATAATTCGGCGTTCTGACGTCAATTTAACCCCGGCGCAAGAGGCCGACGAACTTGCGCTGCACCTGGTGCTGGAGTTTCTACTTGCCCCACCGGAGGGCATCATGCACTTTTAGAAATTTGGGCGGTAAACTTCAACGATTTTACCTCTCGTGTGCTTTGCGGGAGTAGTTACTCCAGATTTTTGAGAGTGTGGGGCACCGATTGGACATGCCAGCTGCGTCAGCGATCGGCTGGAACCAGTCTTGGGTAGTAACGCGTTACTAGTAACGCGTTACTGTAATTTCGTTACTTTTTTGGTAACTTGTAACTGTAACGAGTTACTTTTTAAAAATGTAATTGTAACTGTAGTTCTATTACTTTTTTTCTGAGGTAACGATGAAAGTAACGACGTTACTTTTGTCGTTACTTTCCAGTTTTGTATGAATAATATATCACTGAACGAGTACAATTTAGCCATTTTTTGCGCTTTCCAAATTGTCTCTTCCGACATTTCGAGTGTCAAGTTATTTTTTGCACAGACTTGTCACGCCAGTCACGACCCGAATATAGTCACGTGTAGGTTTGGTGAAAAAAAAAAATGTAGTTATCTTTAGCACGCGCTTGTACTTAGTGACTGAACACTTGAATCTTAATGTCTTGAAGAACTATCTCTTTCGCGGTTTTTCTTTTTTTCTGCGCTAACGCTTTTTAATCGGGTGAATCAAACGTGAAACAACAATACACGCGGAGGGCACTGCGAATGTTTCGTATTTTGATTAGCGCCGCCACTCCACACTGCGCATGTTTCGTATTTTAATTTGCGCCATTAATCCGGTGTAGTGTCTACAGTCGAGGCAAAATTTACTGCTGTTTGCGCGGGGTTTGTTTCTGGCTTGCCGGGTACAAACTGAAATGTGTCCAGGGACTCTATGAACCCAGCGCAACCGTCAACGAGCCAGCAATGTGCTAGTGCTACCAAGGATATGAATGTTGATAAGAACAAAGAAAAACTACCATGGCCGGCGTACAGAGAGTATTTTGCTGACGTGGAGGAGGCTACTAACACCTTGACCGCAGAAAACGGCACTCTATTGCCTCACCGCCTACCCGGCAATCAAAAAACTTTTCCGGCGAAACAACACTGCAATCCCATCTAGCGCGTTAGACGAGCGCCTGTTCAACAAGGGCAGGGACGTGTTCGTTATCAAACAAGGGAAACTTTCAGACACTAATTTCGGGAAGCAACTGCTGCTAACTTACAATACGAAGTAAAAAGCACACTTTTTAATTTTATGCAAATAAACTTGGTGAAAAGCGTTTTCTAGTTTTTCCTAATTTTTTTGTGTTAGGGAAAAAGTAACTGAAACGTAACGTCGTTACTTTTTAAAAGTAACTGTAACTGTAACGAGTTACTTTTTTGTTGCGGTAACTGTAACGGTAACTTCACTACTTTTTTTTGAAAGTAACTGTAACTGTAACGAATTCCTTTTTAAAAGCAACTTACCCAAGACTGGCTGGAACTCGTGTTCAGTCAGTGAAGATACTAGTTCCAATGCGGAACGCGTCAGTTTTATTCATATAAAACTACGCAAAAAACTTGCCAAACTCAAGGTTTGCCGCGTTCGCAGACGACCATGTTAGTGACGCTATTTAGTTGTGGCGCCATCTCCCGATAGGCGCAGCGAGTAGACAACAGGCTGCGTCGTCTTCTCGCAGCGCTTATCGGGAGATGGCGCCACAAACAAATAGTGTCGCAACTCGGTCGTCTGTTAACGCTGCCAACCATGACTTTGACCAGATTTTTGCGCCGACTTTTTACACGAAGAGAACTGCGCCTTGAAATTTCGCACAGTAAGACTGACCTTCTCAGCGAACATTCGCTTAAAGTTCGAGCTTTCTTTATGCAGGCAGCAATATTTCCGGCTTGTATTAAGGCGAAAGGTCCGCTTGTGGCTCCCTCTATCTCCCGCGTTGCCCCCCCAGTTAGTGACGTAGAAATTCCAGCACTACAGATTTGTTATCTTGGGGGTGCCCGGAATGGGTCTTCGACTTGTCTGTTTTGCATCCTATCCTGCCCCTACATCAAAAGTGGTACCGAAATGGCAACAAATGGCGTCGCAGAATCCATGGTGTCATGTTGTCGTATGTCGTGATTCTTGAAAAATTTGCGAAATTGAAGGGTACGCCAAAACTTTCGGTCGTTAAAGGTTTCGATGCGGGCGGTTGGAAGTCGCGAAATTTAGTGGCCGTGTTTATGTCCTCTTGAACCGATTCGCTAAAAATAGGGGCCGCGAAAATAAAGGCTTTTCCAGTATTTGAACCTCCGACTTCAAGGGATACAGAAGTGTCCGAGAGATAGTCGAAAACAAAGAACTGGAGCAACAAACGTGACTGTAGCGACTGGACGCTTAGTTCCTTGTGGATATTTGCACTTGCTTGATTCATTTTATTTACAAATTATCCAATGCAATATTTAATTAAAATATGCGAATGGAATGTTAACGTAACGACCTCTTTCAAGCTAAGAAATTTAACAAGAACCCGTTGCTTTTTAGCCAATGGAACCTGTAACAGTAACGCATTTCTAGATCGAGAAGGAACACAAAACGAGCTGGTCTTTGTTGTTTTCGAGGAACGCGTGTAATCCTGCTTTTATGACGTCACCAGGCGGAAAAATAGAGGGACCACTTCTTGGGACTCGGCAGGCACGCAGCCAGGATTTTGATTCGGGAAAGGGGGGGGGGGGGGGGGGGAAGGGGGGGAGGCGGCGCCCATAACAAAATGCTCTATGAGAGGGAAGGGGGAAAGGAGGTGCCAGTAAAATGGAAGATTTCGGGGGAGGCTTAAGCCCCATGCCCCCCCCCCCCCCCCCCTGGATACGTGCCTGGGACACGGTAACACACTCCACGCGGAAACGCGTTCCGGCCACCCTAGTTCCAACCTAAGCGGTGGTTCCCGACCAACTCTTTCCAGTTGCGGCGCATTTCAAGTCCAAGTTTTCGGCCGAGATGATCCGCAAGGGCCAGAACACGCGGTTGAAGTGCGACGCCACGGGCGACAAACCCATGCGCATATCCTGGATGAAAGACAAGCTCGTGGTGAATCCGAAACAAGATCCCAGGTAAGCATACTCCGTTCCGAGACAGAGCACCGCCAACCCCCTGGAGCGCACGTAATTCTGCAATGTCCTTAGGGTGTTCCTAAGATTATGACATCCAAAAAACATTCACAGAACTAAGTGCACCACGCTACGAGCCGATAGGGACAATGAAACTTTCTGCGAAAAGCGGCTCTACTGTCACTCACAGCTTGAGAAGTTCCTAACATTTTCTTTTCGCTCGAAATGAAACCGCGCCATTAGTCCCTATTGACGCCAAAGAGCAAATTTCGAACCAAGTCGCCTAATCCCAAAAGCCCAAAGTCATAAGTTTGACACTAATAACTAAAGATATTTTCTCGTTCACCCTCGTCCCTGCAGTCACGTAGTTGACAAATCCGATATGCGGGATGAAAACAAAAATCATAGTATTACAACCTGGAACGAGTAAAAAATTATAGAGAAGGCAAAACAAGAAAAGATCGACAGCCACGATTAAAACGTAAGCCTCTCTTAGTGGTGTGGCGAGGGCAAAATGATATTTTTCCGCATTCCGGAAGTTGTGTTATTCAAGATGGCGCGCCGTCCGGGTAGAAAACGTCTAAGGACCATCCCAATAATCGCTTTCTGCGTTCTTTTCTGCGGGATATTAGAGGGCACCCGCAGCCGGGCTATTCGGCAATTTTTGACCGGATAATAAGCGCTTAAAAGTGTATAGACCATTAAAATAATTGCCTGCTGCACGCTGTTGTCATTGTCTACTGGGATGTGAAACGCATTCTAAGCTTGCGCAATGACTCTCTTCCGCGAAGTATCGGACGACTCGCACGCGTCTATAACCGAGCAACGCAGCATTTTCTACCTGAATGATTACCGCTGGAGAGATGTGTCCGCAATACATCAAAAAAGACAGCCTACGCTATAGAGAGATGCAGTCCGCGATCCTGGTTGATGTCATTGGTTGAACCAATGACATGTTCATTTCTTTGGCTGAACTGATTGAAAAAAAAGAACAGTGACGGGTGATTTAAGAGCATCCCTTTTAAATTGCCAGTTCACCAAATATGCGCGATTATCACATTTTTCTTTTGCCTCGCTTATATTTTCTCGGATATTGCAGATTGAAATCGTTTATTATTTTTTCGCCCCGCATACCAGATACGGAACCCACGCGACTGGCCCCCGCGGGAGCTCTGGCCAGCCGCAGCGGCGGAGCGGTTTGCGATTCCAGAAGGTTGTAAATGTTTCGCGGCGGCAAAGCAGCAGCATCCGCGCTGGCCATTCACAACGCGGCGGAGAACCACGTGACAGGGCGAGAAGCCTGGCGGAAAAGCTTGCGCGTAGGATGGCGTTTTCACGTTTTTCAAGCAGACGACATGCGGAGAAAGTACGCAAGCGACATGGTTTGCGGTTTTCTTGTTTTGTTTCCATCAGTGGGTTCAGCGCTTTTTGCTTCAGTGGTAGCGTCGGAACTGCTCCGGAGGGTGATTGTTCTCCGCTTCCTCCGAATAGTTTGCGAGGCATATCGGCAATGTTCGGGCGTATTTTAGTTTGCGGCCGACTTGCCCCCCGCGCCCACTGTTCCGACAGCGTTGGCCTTGGAACTGCACATGCAAGGTCCAAGTTCCCCTTTCCTCTTCCCTTTTGTGTCAGAACTTGTTCATATTGGCATTCTTGAGGCTTTCATACTTAGTGATTGAGAGTTTCTTGTGTGGTAGTGTTTCACCTCTTCATGAACACATATCTCCATACATATCACCATTTCGGAGGAGACCATATTTGTTCGAGTCTTTCCAACCGAGGTTTCATCCTCCGCGACAACAAAGTTTCAATATAAGATAAACAAATAAATCCGAATTTTTTTTTCGCGCCTTATATTGCTGTGTTGTATTACTAATTTAAAATTAAAAAGGAAACGGAAATCTGAGGCATTCAGATTGCTATTGGAGACCGTTAAAATTCATTGTGCGCGTTCACTGGCTGCAAGCAACGTTGGGCATCGCAGCGGCATGATTGACCAGATGCTTATGGGAGGGGGGGGTACTCAGTGTCTGGAAATTGAGCAGGATGAGGTTACTATATAAGAGCAAGGGAGACAAAGACAGTATAAAAACATACCGACCAATCACAGTAACTTTAGGGTGATTCCACGTCAGTTCATGCAATGATTGTCCGGGTCATAATTTAGATATTTTTGTTAAAAAATGTATATGAAAGCCATGTTCTTGGGAGGAACATTCACCTATATATGAACGCTGTAACAATATTTTCGCCGAGATATAAAATAGAGAAGCTCGAGGCGTGGAAATTGCGAAGTTTTCACGGTGCAACTTTGCACTGTCGTCATTTCCCCATCGTAGCTTTTACGTCATTATAACTTTTTAATACATTTTACAAAATATATACAACACATACACACAAAATTAAATATATCAATAAAATATTTCTATGCCAACAAAAAATCAAACATGGCATAAAAACTCGTTTTAGAAAATCTCCACAATTTTTTTGCAAATAAACCATCTTTCAAAATACTTCACAAAGCATATCAAAATTCGCGTCTTTAAATATTCTTTACGAATGTGTAAAAATGATATGCCCACCGTTATTGTCTTTTTTGTTATTAACGCGAAAATGCAGCTAATTTTTCCAAAGGTGGCAAGATCGAGCGTTAATATTTAAAAAAAAAGTCTTTTATTTTTTGTTTTAACTCCCCTTGGCACTTTGCAGTGACTTAAATTATCCTGTGATGGCAAAACATTGAGTAACATATGACCTCCGAACAGGAAAAGCTACGACAAACTTTCACTCGGAGCGAGCCGACGTCTTCGTCATAGCGGCTTTGCCGCACAGCACCAAATATTTGGAGCGATAGTTATGGCATGCATTTTATATTTTTCAAATTTTTTTTTTCAAAATTGGTGAGTATAACTGACGCTAAAAGGGTCTTTGAGCTGGAGTACCATTAATTAGCTTACAATTCACAAAAACAAAACGGCCCCACTCTGCAAATTCGCCAAGTATGCGCACATAAGCTTAAAACTCACAGTTGCGTAAGTAGTCATGCATACATCCGGCTTTTTCAACCGCACTCAACAAAGTGCGGTTGTAAAAGCTACTGGCTCCACGAACAGTGAACGAATCTGACCTTTCATGCTAGCATTGCTACAAACACCTCAAGAATGAGATTGCTTCTCACAACGTGAGTACTCTGACGAAATTCTGGCTGAAATAAGTCAAGACTTGTGTGCTGATAATTCGTCGGAAACCGCATTTAAACCACGTAAACTTATTAAAAAGGAAAGGCGCGAAGAGTATTTGAAGAAAAAACAAGCTCCAGTGAGTTCTTCGATTAGAAGAAAGCTGTCAAGCGTTTATGACGTGAAAACCGGCGAAGACAGTTGTGAGCACTGCACGGAGTGGTTTGACGCGTTCCGCCAATCACTGAAAACATGCAGTTCCCACGAGGAACGCAAGCCAATGTACACGGTGCTGCCACCAAGCACCTCGAAGAAAGAAACATCACGTCTGATGCCGCAGGTGACTGCCTACATTATTGATCAAACAAGAAAACTGAAGCGTAAAGATGGTGTATGGGCAACCCCTGATCCCTACATGGGGAAAAAGGCAAATGCCGAAGACGTGAGGGTTGCACTTGAGTACTACACACGCGACGACCTCGCATGCTCTGTTCAATGCCCCAACAAGAAGGACGTCGTCAAACCCATGATCAACGACAACAAGCCTAAAGTCGTACAAAGGTTTATGACGCGCTCTATTAAGGAAGCTTACCAGCTGTTTAGGAAGGACCATCCCCATCGAGAACTAGGCATCTCCAAATTTTATTCCCTACGACCAAAATGGGTAAAAAAGAGTCCCGAGCACGAGGTGTGCGCATGCATATATGTTGCGTCAATTTTCAGTTGCTTTTAACGGCAATAACAAATGCCTCAAAGAAGACATTTACAGAAGACGATCTCAAGAGCATCTATACCTCTGCAGCGTTCCACAGAACGATTGCTTCCTGCGCCGCTGCCAAAAGTGCCCAAAAATGCAGAGCATCTCGCTGCAGTCGCTCCATCTCGACGAAGACGAAGAGATCTGTTTCGCGTTATGGGACGCCGACGAACTCGTCAAAACGGTTATTGACACTTCCGCCTTCCTGCGGGAATAGGAGTCATGGAGCGGAAAGTGTATGAGGCATTCCAACATCCGTGTCATTCAACCAAGCCTGATACGTGACAGAAGAACCGCCTTACCAACCAAGGCAGTGATGTTCCACTTCGATTTCGCGGAAAATTGGGCAGTAATCTTCCCAACCAAAGTGCAGACTTTTCATTGGGAAAAAAAAAAAAAGCTCAAGTGTCTCTCTTCACATGTATGGTTACGTCCACGCAAGGCACGTAATTATTTGCCGTTGTCAGCGATGACACGACTCATGACAAAGCTCACGCTCTTCCAGCCATAGAGCCCGTAGAGGAGTATGTTCATGAATATTACAAAGTCTCTTCTGAAACAATTTCTGTATCAGACGGAGTGGCGGTGCATTTGAAGAATCGCTTCCAATTGCACGAACTGTCTCAGAAGCCGTACTCTTCGGCAAGATGAATATTTTCAGTCACTGGACACAGAAAACGTGCTTGTGATGGAATAGATGGTGTTCTTAAACACCCTGCAACGCTCACCAACTTGAGACCTTCGCTCAACTCAACGATTGTCACCGCTAAAGACTTTGTGGAAGTGCTGCGTGAAAAAGTAACAAATGTTTGCATGTTCCACTTTTTCAGGTCTTGTGAAGAAGATGTAAGGAGTAACTTAACAAAGGTTACCCGTTACTAGAAAAAAGTAACGTAAGTGCGTGACCCGTTACTTTTTTGAAAAGGTACCGAGTACGTTACTACGTTACAGAAAACAGTAACGCGCTACCGGCAACGCCGTTACTTGTAACGCGTTACCGCCAACACTGCCGTTGCCGATAAAAAGAAATGCGCGTTATTTGTGCATTACTTTTTCTTTCTAAATTG